AATCGATATACGAATTCCGGTGTTGCTCCAAAATTTTCCATAGTCAGTAACCTTCAAAATTCACTAACAATCTCGAACGGAAAAGTTTTAATGATAAGATAACCGTCAAAGTCCTTTGTCAAAGTCACACTTGTGTGACTTTTAGCCATCTTTTTGCCGAGACCTAACAATTCGTAATAGGTACTCGTGTGACACACGTCTGATAAGTTTGCCTTGATAATTTTAACGAAGCGGAAATTCGTTTTTCTTGTGACTAGAGTTTATGACTACTGACTCGACTCGAGAATTCCCGGGAAATCGTTGGGCTTTGTTCCCGGGAAACCAAGCTCGAAAAAAGTCGAGAACTCGAGAAATCATGTACCTATATAGAAATTAAATTGCCGTTTGTTGTGTTGCGTGGCGACGCGGGCCAAAGCTCAGCGGCACCCTTTGATCTCGCTGCAAGCGCTCTGCGGCGTCGTTTTTTCACGTTCATTCGTATGTCGACTCTAGCCAAGTATAGTTTACGTAGTGAGTGTTTCACAGATTACGTGATAAATTTATATTAAATAGTCTTTTCACTTATAATGACATATCATGGCTTTATTATTCATATTATTTTAATCAATAATATAATCTAAATATAATCTGAAATTTTACTAAGTACGAGTACCTATCAGTTGTTTCCTATTATTTTTTAGTCAAACTTTGATACATAAAATAACTTTAATTATAATACATTAAATACATTAATTATACTACTTAGTCTAATTATATTTCCTTTTTTTGTAAAACAACAACACACAAGCTATTTTTTTAATTATTCTGATATGTTTTTCTTATGTAAGTAATTCGAAATGAATTAATGTGTCATTTTAAATTTGTGAGACGAATATTGCCAGTTGTGTTGTGTGTGTATCACATATTACTTCAAGGGTTAATTATTTATTTGAATTGCGTTTATTATAGATTTTACTGAAACTTCACTATAACAGTAAAGATAAAAGCATCAAAAGTACGGTAAATATAAAAAAAATGGATGCGTGTAACTTATGTACGCGCGTGAGAAGTTATACTTCTTTAGCATCATTAAAAATATTTTTTAATTGCATGCAAATAATTAATAATTACAATAAAATAATAAAAGGACTGGAAAAGGATAGTTAACACAGTCAATTAAGTTCAGTTTTAATGTGAAAAATTAAATAAATATTCAAAATATTCAATTAAAATCACTACTGAATTTAAGTTATTAGTCCATATGTAATTAGCACTTGTAAGTAACTAAAACACGTTGTGTCTATAAAGAAACTAGAAACATATGGATAAATATTATAAATATGAAAACAGTGATCAGAGGCGACGAGCGTGCCAACATTGTTTTTGACAACGCGATCATCTTATGGAGCTCCGTGGATCGTTCAAAGTACCTTTCGAACAGATGTTCAAAGTACCTTTAGAACCACTAAGTGGTTAATAATCCACCATTATTAGACACTAACATTCATAACGCGCCCGCGGCCAACTTCATGGTGTTACTATTGTGTTACAGTGATGCGCGCGCATCTCGAAATTTCACTCACATGATTTTTTCATAACGCGCCCGCGGCCAACTTCATGCTGTTACTTTTGGGTTACAGTGATGCGCGCGCATCTAAAAATTTCACTCTCATCATTTTTTCATAACACGCCTGAAGAAGTATAACTTCAAAAAATAAGAAGTCTGCAAGTGCCCAAAAAGCATTTGCTTGCAAAGGTTTAGTTTAATATTTTTGTTTATTTTAATAGAAGCTACTTATGTTTAAAAGTTCTAAATAACCAGCCAAAAATGGTGCTGGTCGTTATAATTATGAGTCTGAATAATATTATTTCTGTATTTTTTTTTAAGTTAATTAGCTTATTCATAAGATTAATGTTTTTGAATATAAATAATAAAAGTTTTATAATTAATTTGATACTTTTTTTTCAGAGGAAAACCATTGAATTTGTCGACGTTATTGGAACCATATAAAATGAGAAAATGAACGTAAATGTAAATTTCTCGACAACCCGAGAAGCCTCGCGAAATTAGCCTCGAGCCGCATTAGGATCCCATCAAATTTTATTCAAATAACAACCATCCAAAATTGTATAGTTCATTGATATTGTGAAAAAAAGGTTTCCTTATGAATGGTTATGCAAAGATCCGAAAAAATAATGCTATTTATAGAGTAAAAACCTAAGGTAGTATATATCACAGTGACGACAAAACCAAATCGTCGACGAACTATGTTCAACGATGACAGATAGCCAGGCCTTACTAAAGGTGTCCTAATAGTATCCGAAAATGGAGCTCATATTCCTCGCAATACAAATAACATGATAATTTTTCACTTAGACATCACTTAAAAATTGAACACTTTTACGCAGTAATTAATTGAATGCTCCCAGTAAAGGAGCACCTTTATGTAAATCAATCATCAAACGAAAAAAGCTCAATGTCCGGTTAGAGGAATTTAACAGTTTTGGGCAACATGGCCTAGTATTGTGCTTTTTACAATGTTTTTTTTTATAAATACGTGCATAAACCTCTATTTAACGTAAACGAACTTCATTAAATCCCGAGGTCGAGCACTAGTGGTTATTGCCTAACATTTATTATGTGAACAGGGTGGCACAAAAATGCGGCTCTTAACGCGCCCAACAAGGCCTATCTGTTAAGCCTTTTTCACGGTACATCCCGCAACGAGCTCTGTTATAGTGCTGGCGAATCCTCTTCTATACATATAAATATACTTACCCACCTACCTATCTGTGCGCCGGCTGTTAGGTAATCCATAACCACACGAATTTTTTTACACTTAATACCTATAGCTTACCATACAAACCCTTACCCCTTTATTAATAAACGAGGTTTAAGCTCAGACTAGTTACGCCGTGTTTTGTTCACGTCACTCAAATGCCATTTGTCATTCGATGAAAAGAGACAAAACATGGAGTAACTAATCCAAGCTAAATCTTCGTTTATTAATAAGGGGGTTCGAGTCATATTGTCTAGGTGTAATACTTTCTGTAAACAATGGAGGCCTGGTGACCTGTAACACGGGTATATGAACCTACACGGGCACCAGTCTCCCACGAATGACGATATGCTTATATAATTCGCCTTAGATTTTTGTAAACCTTTTTTGTCATTTGTGGTGAGAAATAAAGTTATTTTATTATTAAGTTTATATATTATATATATAAACTTAATAATAAAATTACTATATATTATATAGCCTATAGCCTTCCTCGATAAATGCACTGTCCAATACAAAAATAATTTTTCAAATCGGAATAGCAGGGCAATGTTGCATTCGGTACAACGGGTCCTAAACTACGCAACGAATTTTTTACTTGGAATGGAAGGTTTATAATTATAATGAAGAAAGTCATTGTGTATAATACAAGCCTCTGAACAAAAACTATAGTCTACACTACAGCTCTACACCGAAGCAAAGCGAGGGTGGGCCACTAGTGTACATTAAATAACATTCCTTCAAGAGTAGAGGATAGATTTTGTTGAAATAAAAAATAATGTAATGCCAATATAGTACTAAATAGTTAGCGCGTTCGGCTACATTCGTTAAAATTAAGCTACTTTCGCAGTGGTCGATCATTGGATGGGTGACCAAAAGTCGTCTATCTCGAATTCCTCCGTGTTTTGGAAGGCTAGCTAAGCCGTTGGTTCCGGCTGCATCTACAGTCGTTAGCACCCGCCAATCCGCACTGGGCCCGCATGGTGGGTCATGGCCCAATCTCCCTTTTCCATCCATAGGAAAGGCCTGTGCCCCAGCAGTGGGGACAATAATAGGCTGATGACGATTAAGATAGGTACTTAAGAGTAACTTCACACGATATTGGTGAAGTAAAGTTTATTCAGCTTATTAATTAGTTCACACAAAGAACGCTGAATCGAATCCCATAATAGTTTGTACGTACAAAGGGGCAAAGGGAATATGAAGCAGAGAGCTTAAAATCTGGTGCAGAGAGGTTAAAAGTTAAATAAATAAATAAATAAATAAATATTTTCAACACTCACACCAATTAGCCTAGCCCCAAAGTAAGCACTGTAAGGCTTACGTTATGGGATACTAGAGTAACAGATAGAATACATATATAGTACACATATAAGTATATTTATATATAAATACATATTAAACATCCCTGACTGGAGTACAAATGCTCGTATTCATCACAGAAACATCTGCACCCACCGGGATTCGAACCCATTCGAGTCGGCGACACCATGAAACCCAGCGTACAAAACACTCGGTCACGGAGATCAAAATATGCCAATATAATTATGTTTTAGTTAGGATGCGTCTATCTATGCGTCTAGTGGCGATATGTCAGCGGGTATTTCTGTAATAAATAATTCAATTATGTCACATTGTCTACCTGGCTAGGTTTAAGTACTTGATTTAATTTTTGTAATAAGCGATTATCATCAAGAATTTTACAACATAACAAATGCGGCTAAAGATAAATACATATGTAGCTACTAACAGATAAAAGATTAAATTTTTTATCTCTATCCGCTACCAAAAAGTGGTAAATAAATGTTTTAAGTATACATTTTGAGGCGGCCAACTTAAGCACATACAAACAATGCAATTAATAAAAAATTCATCATCATCATCACAGCCTATTAATTTCCCGACTGCGGGGGCACAGGTCTTTCATGTGGATGAAATAGGGAGATTGGGCCATGACCCACCACGCGGGCCCAATTGGTGAGAGCTAAAGACTACAGATCCAGCCGGGACCGATGGCTTAACGTGCCTTCTGCAGCACGGAGGAGCTCGAGACAACAAGCTTTATGGTCACCCGTCCAATGACCGGCCATTTCGAAAGTTACTTAACTTCCACAATCGTAGGCCCAACGCGCTAACTAACTGCGCCATCGAGCTCCTTGAAAAAAGTGCTTTGTAGAAGATGAGGATGAGTACCTAGTAGATTGTCGGATGATAATAAAGATTACCCATTTCATGTTACAGTTGGAGCAAGATGGCTACGCAGTAATCGAAGACTTCTTGCGACCAGCAGAATGCGACGAATTAGCGGCAGCGGGCATCGAACTCACCAAAAACATACCTGAAGATGAACAGAAATTACCATTTTCCACCAAAGAAGGGGAAAGACAGGTGAGAGTACATCCTTCATTACACTCACACATACAATGCTTTGATGAGGTGGCAAAACAACAAGCATTTTCGTTATTTCCCCTGTGACCCCCCTCCCCCCTCCCACCTTAGGACCACACCTTGTGAAAAGCTGGTTTCTCACTCTATTCTAATAGCCGCACGCAGGAGCGTCATTTTATTATAATTTGTTCAAAGTTGTTGCTCTGATAGCAATAGAATAAGACAAAAAGTCATATTGATTAAATTTAAGTTAAAATTTAAGAGAAAAATCAAAAAGTTGCTGGTTGTATGTAGTTGTTATCCATAGAGAAAGGTACCATTTCGTTTTATTAATATTATACTGTAAATTGAGCCTTTTTTCCTATTGTACTATAAATTGAGATTGAGTAAAAGGAACTAGATTTCAAAAGTTTACTATAAGTACTTGTAAATTTTATATACTTTACTATAAATCAGGGTATCGATCCTGCTACGCTAATGTCGTCGTTCGAAAACATAAAATAACAAATTAATGCATATAGCCAACAATAACACATGAGTAATCAAATATTGGTCGGTCATTGGATGGGTGACCAAAAATTTACTGTCTCGAGCTCCTCCGTGCTTCGGAAGGCACGTTAAGCCGTTGGTCCCGGCTGCATCTGCAGTCGTTAACACCCGCCAATCCGCACTGGGCCCGCGTGGTGGGTCATGGCCCAATCTCCCTATTCCATCCATAGGGAAGGCCTGTGCCCCAGCAGTGGGGATATTAATAGACTGATGATGAATCAAATATTTTTGTGATTTTGTATTTTAATAACACTAATAAAAAATATAATCTGTGTCAAAAATCTTAACTACTGAAACACGATTAACACACTATAATTATTTTAACTTTGCAGAATTTCGATAACTTCAAAAGAATGCAACCAATAAATACATTGACATTTAACATTAATACAAGCCCCACCCCCTCAGTCTACATTCCGCACCCCGAGCATTGGACAAACACGTTGCGCACACGTGGCAAGATCGCCAAACGCACTTATGCCTCTAAAGCTTCAGTCACACACAGCGAATACCCGCTGCGAATGCCTATTCGCCGCGACTATTTGCTCTGTGAAAGGGGTATTCGCAGCGAATAGCCAATCCGCTCAAGCGAGCTTCAGTCACACACTGCGAATACTCACTGCGAGTGCATTCGCTACCACCAGTCACCATTTTTAATATAGCTTAATGATTGTCGATCTTCCTTATTTAAGACATTTAGAAAATTATTGACTGCTTGTAATGACGGAGTATGTCCGCTGTGTTAAATCTTTCTACCTAGAAGTTTTAAAGGCGCAGCTTCAGCAATCATGCTAACACATTGTCCTCCTATTGAGAGTTCGGGATCGTAAGAGGTATATTTGGTGTCTCGTCTACCCTGGCATAGACAGCAGCACTTACCTTGTTTTGTCCTCAGTCCGTCAGTCCATGCACAGTACTCGGATGAGATGATTGAAATGGATATTTCAAATAATAATTTGTGACATTATTTAGGATTACGCCTCAGTATTGCGAGATTTGCGAGGTCGTGTGCAAAAGCTAAGATGGACTTTGTGTATTTATTGTTTATTTTAAACCGATAGCCCCATTTTTTCTCATGATTTATCAGCTTGTCTATAAGAATATTTAAAATTATACTAAATGCGATATTGGTGACAGGCAGCAGCCCTGAAACAGCCCTACATTAAGATACAATGGAATTATTGTCTGCACTTTGGTTCGTTTATAGACGGAAAAGTACCTATAAGTTATAAAAATCACAAAATTACTTGCTTATTTAATTTATAAAAATTTGAAACGTATTATGTATACGTAATCATAAAGTTAAACTTGCTTGGTAGAATTGTAAAACTATCAAAAGCGTATATTTCTAACGTGTTTTCACAACCGCTGAATCTGGAAAGGTTCCCAAAGGTGTCACGTAATTAAAATATTTGTACTGTGTAACAGACAGAAAAGCCTTGTTACTACATTAAAATCTTTACTTACAAAAGAATTCATGTACGAAGAAATAATAAGAAAGAACTCGAAAACTATTTGGCAAAACATGTCTTCTTTGAATTTATTAAATCTAAATACCTCCATTTAGTTGTTTTATGCTAGCATATAAAAATATTGTGTGTTATTTTCAGCAAATAAAAGACACGTATTTCTTGGAGAGCAATGACAAAATCAGATACTTTTACGAGGTGGATGCTCTCGGTCCCGATGGGAAGCTCACAGTGGATCCGACTATTTCGCTAAACAAAGTAAGTATAATAGGTATACAATTACAATTTTCGTTATATAGAATATCTACCAGTATGTGTATAATAAAGATAATGGCTATTCTACAATTAACAATGTTATTTGTACAATGTTTTCTTAGTGAAAAGGAAACTCCAAGGATTTTCCGCTGTATTTTCCGTGCTTACCCGGAAAATGCCTTAAGAGATTGCTAAGCCGTCAAATTAACGAAAATGTGAATCCAATATTTGCTTACATCATAAAGAGAAAATATTTATATGTTTGTAACGAATAAACATAAAAACAACTCAAAACAATTAAAAAAAACACCTTATGGACGCTCCATTTATCCCAGAATTACATAGGCTTTATTTTTATCGTTTTAAATTAAAGCTCGCTCGTGCAAAGCCGCGATGGATTGCTAGTATGACATAGCTTAGTGTCTACGTTTAACATAAGTTATGTCTAAGACGTGGGATTCAAAATGTACGCGGCCAATATTTTCCGAAAATACTCTGTCCGTTATTTGACTTTTATTTCGCAGAAAATTAATCGATTCAACTGTTAGGATTTCTTTTTCTATTCTATATTTTTTAAAAGAAGTGTCCAATTAAGAATTAGTCCCTTAGATTAAAGCAAATAGAGAAGATACTGTACGCTAATACTAGCATCAAATAAAATATGATCCGACTCAACTATTTAAGCAGCTCTCACACACGCACACTTCTGTAAATAAACATTCAATCGAGCGAGCGAGACAAAATTGTACGCTTCAACGCAGCGCGAGCGAAACGGCGCGAGACCGTGTCGCTCTGCAGCCGACTGTATTTTCTTTTCTCTCTCTACAGACGGCTGAACCGTATTGTTGTCCTTTTCTCGGTAAAAATTGGCGAATCAGTAACTAACATTGATGGCAAACCGTGATTTTTGTAATTTTTTATAGTTTTACGAATGAAAAGTGGTGCCGTGGCATTTCTTATTCGATTTTAAACTATTTAGGTTCTTTATAAAAGCATTGAAGGAATTGTTTTATCTTTATAACACAGAATATACGTAATATTTCTATATTGACTGCACATGCATCGTGTTTGGATGTCCAATTGTGACTAAAGTGAATTGTGGTCATGCACCACAATTTAAGCGGATCACTTTTGAGCCGCACGTGCCGTATCTTCCCTTTTTGTTTTAATCTAAAAAAGAAAAATTAAATGAAACTACCAAAGCGGCTGTCGGGGCTAATAAAGACTTACACAATAAAATATTAATTTATCGGTTTTGTATTCTTCATTCAAATCTTCAATGCACATCTTATCTTTTGAAGATATTTTTGGGTAAAACAAAAAACCAGATTGGTTTTTTTCAGTTTAAGCAACAACTGTAATTTTTTTGTTACTTATTTCTGGATATCTAGCATAGCCTAAGTATCATGAAGTGACATTTACGTGATCAAATATCCTGAAAATTAACATAGATGCAAGCTGCAAGAACCTGTGCATCATGAACGGGATGCGAGAAAGTCAAACATTTGCACATCATCGTTCGTGTTTGATCAACAACCTTGTTAACAGCCTGTATGTCCGTACACTGTGCTCTTTTAAATAAACCCTTTCATAATAGTGGAAACATGGCCTCTGTGCTACAAGTTCTTAAATAAATTAAAAACTCTCCAAGTGCGAGTCGGATACGCGCATGAAGGGTTCCGTAGCGATATTTACACCATTAGACAAGAAATTCAATGTAGAGCAAAAAAGCTCCTTAAATATCTATTTTTTTAGTTACTATTTTTATAGGTTTTCCTGTAATTTACTACTTTAGAGCTACATTTCATGTTATTTGCAAATTTTTAAACCAGTACGTTCGGAGATAAGGGGTCAATAATTTTCATCGATTTCCTTAAATATTTTTAAACTATAAATTATACATTTGTTAAAATAATATTTCTGAAACCCTCACATTGATCCCTTTTATTTGATATATAACACGGCATAAGTAGCTTTTTGTTGAGTTATATATTATGTATTAAGTTTGGGCGAAAAAAATTATCGTGTGGTCTTTGTAGGGTGGTCCGTACCCACAGGATAAAAATTTAACCCTATTGTTGTAATTCTGACGTCTGTCTGTCTGTCTGTCCGTATGTCACGGATGTCTAGATCGTTAAAGAAATGTGTTACAAAGCTGAAAATTTGGTATAATGATTAAAATGTTTGCAAAACCGAATATTTAGTTAAAAATTCAATTCAATTATTTTTCATACATGAGGAGACAAATTTTTTCTTTCTTCTTTACCCCAGCATGTGTCACAACATTCTCTAGAGCTTATTGAATAGGACATAAATATAATTTTGATTATTTTTTAATTTCAAAAATAAAGAAATGGCGGGCCGTCAAATAGTATTTTTTTAGACCATTTTTGTTACGGGGTAAATCTGAAAATCTAAACAAGTTGGGAATGTGAAATTTTAGTATATGCTACTCCATAAACTGTATTTAAACAAAAAGTACTGAAAACGCCGATCCTTAATGTACTCCGTAAGTTGTGACGAAAACAAAAACATATATATTTTTCCTTCAGCGGTTTCTTGTATGGAAAGAAAGAAAGAAAACTGTTTTTATTTAACCGTTTATTCGTGCGCGAGTCCAACTCGCACTTCGCCCGTTTTTTCTAATATCGCTTTTATAAGTTTTACCTCCCCCAGTACCCGATACCAACAAAGTGTCAATGTTTTTTTATTTGATATTTTTTATTCGACTGAACGAACTCTTCGATATACAGCGAAACCGCGGAATTGATACGAACTTCAATACATTTAGCTTGGACTGTTTTGAATGACGGCGAAAACGCGGCGGGTGAACTGAGTGTCTTGAGAATACCGCAAAATTGCCAACCTGTTTATAGTACAGTCAATCTGTCGAAAAAAATATCGTTTCAGTGAAAAAAAAACCTAAAGAATAAGTCTTGTTTTTTCTGTTGCCAAATGACGTCAGTAAGCCACCTTGGCGATGGGCATGTTCAACTCGTAGGCGTTTTTTGAAAAACTCAAAAAAACCGTCAAAAATTTTTTGAGACGCATTTTTCTTGTTTTGTATGCATTTTAGTAACTTTTTTTTCGACCATAATTGTAGAGGGTGTTGAGTGCTACAATTTATGTCAATGTTGCAATCTCGTACAACAAAAAATGTGCACTGCAAATGTGTACTTGAACTGCCCAAAACCGCTCTATTGGATTTTTCATACCTGCGCAATTTATAACTTGAAAACGGTAAGTAATACAAAAAAATTGTTTATACAAAAGTTGTTGGTAATTATGTACGAAACAACTTTGTCATTTAAAGTTTTCCATTAAAATGATATTTTCAGGGTGAAAAAGTGAAAAAACACTTTTTTGAGACTTTAGCGCCACCTACAATGCGCATTTTTTGTTGTACGAGATTGCAACATTGACATAAATTGTAGTACTCAACGGCCTCTACAATTATGGTAAAACAAAAGTTTCTAAAATGCATACAAAATAAGAAAAATGCGTTTCAAAAAATTTTTGACGGTTTTTTTGAGTTTTTAAAAAAACGCCTACGAGTTGAACATGCCCATCGCCAAAGTGGCTTACTGACGTCATTTGGCAACAGAAAAAACAAGACTTACCCTTAAGGTTTTTTTTTTCAACCCTCAACCTACAGATTGACTGTACTATTACGTTTATGACACGGACTGAACGAATGCTTTGTTTGTTTTCCTGTTGTACTTCAAAAAATGTTTCCGTCTCGAGAAATTTATTTTTTGCCGTTTCGAAATGGTTTGCTTTGTTGTGAAAAGCTAAAGCGAGCGCTCTCTAAAATCTTCATAAACATTATAAAATTTCACACACACCTTGTTGCATTCAAACATATAAAACATCTTTATGCATTATGCAAGGACATTAGACACCTTGCATAAATTATGATTTAATATGGTCCGTCAGTAACATATTATTCGCCAGTTCAATAATTGTGAAGATCGTGGCCCCTACCCCTAAATTTAGCTTATTATTATTTAACAGCCGGGACCAGCTTAACGTGCCTTCCGAAGCACGGAGGAGCTCGATTTAATAAGTTTTTAATCACCCATCTAAATAAATGAAAAAAAAAACTTGTGTACATATTTTACAAATAAGGTTAAAACAGACTCGTAACGATTTGGTAACGATATAAGTAATTGATGTTTTTAGGGTTTCATACCCAAAGACTATTCACCAAGATTCCACTGTCCGTCTGTCTGTCTGTCACCAGGCTGTATCTCATAAACCATGATAGCTAGATAGGTGCAATTTTCACAGATGATGTATTTCTGTTGCCGCTACAACAATAAATACTAAAAATAAGAATAGATACCTAGACGACCTCCGTGGCCGAGTGGTTTGTAACGCCGGGTTTCATGATGTCGTCGCGCCGACTCGAGAGGTGGGTTCTAGTCCCGTTGTGAGCAGATGTTTGTGTGATAAATACGAGCATTTGTAATCCAGTCATGGATGTTTAATATTTATTTCTATATAAATATATGTATATATGTATAATATATGTATTCTACCTTTACCCTAGTATCCCATAACACGAGCCTTACACTGCTTACTTTGGCGGTAGGCTAATTGGTGTGAGTGTTGGAAATATTTATTTATTTATATATATTTAAAGGGGACTCCCATAGTAAAGACGTGTTATTTGCCATTTTTTGATATCAATAACGGCAACAGGTAGACGCTTCAAAGATTCACAGAACCTTTAGCTGCAAAGTCACTTAAAAAATAAATAAGTAAATAAAATAATACTTTTTTATAGGTTGGCCACGCACTACACTTGCTGCACCCGATCTTCAGATGTTATACATACAGCGATCGAGTGAAAGCAGTCTGTCATCAGCTGGGATTCAAAGAACCAGCCGTGGTACAAAGCATGTACATATACAAAAATCCCGGCATAGGTGGTGAAGGTGAAACTTTATTTTTGATTGTTTTTTCATGTTAAAAGGTTGGCAAACAAGCGTATGATGGTAAGTGGCCACCATAGCCTATAGACCAGAGGTGGCCAACCAGTCGAACGCGAAGTAGTTCAGTCGATCGCGACTGTTAGTTCAGTCGATCGCGACTGCTAGTTCAGTCGATCGCGACTATTAGTTCAGTCGATCGCGACTAGTAGTTTATTTGATCGCGACTATTAGTCCAGTCGATCGGGGCAAGGCAAAAAATATAAATAAGTAGAAGAGACTGCGCATCGTAATTACCTTAAAAGTATAAAATGTATTAAATCCAATATATAGGATAAGTCCTAGTTTAAGAACTATAAAGATATTTAAAAGACACTTAGTTAATTAGCCTTTGCATATTGCACGAACAATATTTCCATTTTTATGTAGACAAAGAAAACTCATTAAACAATAAACCCATTATTAATTCTGCGTCTAAAAATCATTCAGAAAATGTTATTCTCAGTAATACCGCAAAGTGGGATTGAAAGTAAAATAGTAAATAAATGGTTACTAACAATATTTTCCTGAGTATCTTTTAAGCCCTTCTGAGAACATGCTTGTTACAATAATACTTTAAGACTGAATTAGTTAGCATTATAAAATCGATTCATGCTGTAAAAGGTTTAGGGTAATTGCATTTTAATTATTATTGATTGATTAGATTTATTGTTTCTTTAACAAGTCTAGAAGCACGAAATATTACATAACGTTAAGTAGTAATGTACATTAATTAGTTATGTGCGTGCTCCAAAGGGCCACAGTTTAAAACGTAGGTTTTACATAAAGATTTAGCAGGTCCTTTAAAAAAATGTAACCAGAAGGATAAACCAGTAGCTCTTGTAAGTTGAACGCTACAACTCACCTAATGTGAGCTCTCGGATGAAACACCTCAATTACCATATTATATTACTGTATTTGACCAATTTAAATAATTTTGATGAATGGTGGTAAAATTTAGAAGGTAATTTTTAGGACTACGTACAAAATTCGTGCTCTGCTGAGTGACTAGAAATAAATAAAATACAATCTGTTACTGGTTCATCGGTTCTTACGTGCCCAAATTTTACTCTACTGCTACAAATTTGCAGTTAAAGCTAGGTTTCTTTTCTTTGATTGATGCTTACTTTTTCGATTGTAATAACTAACTTTATGATATTCCACTGTGGCCTCTCGAATTGCAATGATCTATCTTACCAATAACGATGTTGATCTACGCTACAAGGAGTTAATTACAAAATGCCGACTCCATTCGATTCTACTTATAAATAGATGCCGTTGATAATATGTTTTATTGAGTAAAAGAAAGAATACAATGATTACCAATTTTTAAATGTATTTATGTATTAATAAAGTACTTCTTTTAGATCTAATCAATATTTATTTGTAGTCACTCAACAGAGCTCAAACTTTTGTACGTAGACCTGCAAATTATCTTCTAAATATTTCCACCATTAATCAAAATTATTTAAATTGGTCAAATACAGTAATATAATATGGTAATTGAGGTGTTGCATCTGACTTACAACAGCTACAAAATTATCCTTCTGGCTACAATTTTTTAAAGGACCTGCTAAATCTTTATGTATTTGGAATCTACGTTTTTATTTATGTGTGCAATAATATAGAAGCTTTTTTTTTTAGTGACACCCCACCAAGACGCCACGTATTTATATACAGAGCCCATTCCACCGGTCGGCTTCTGGATCGCTCTGGAAGACGCCACTATCCAGAACGGCTGCCTTTGGATGGCGAGGGGTTCCCACAAGTCGGGGGTCCACAGACGTCTCGTACGGAACCCTGACAAAGATCCCGCTCTCATATTTGATAAGCCGGAAGCTGTTTACCCTCAGTCAAGCTTCACTGCAGTTCCTGTTAGCAAAGGTATAGAAAACCTTGACTTTTTGAAGTTATACTTCTTTAGGCGCGTTATGAAAAAATGATAAGAGTGAAATTTTAAGATGCGAGCGCATCACTGTAACACAAAATTTTGTGTTTACCGCACATTAAGAAAATCTACCAACAAAATAGAAATAGAATCTCTATTAAGTGGGTGCTAATGACTGCATTGTGAAGGCCTATCAAAAGTATTTGGACGTAGTTACGCGAAAACGTTCCAACCCACAGCGACCCCATTTTGAGATAAACGCAATTTTGTGTTTTAGCGGTACACTTTTTCCCTGTAATTATTTCAGGCAAATACTATTGGTGTTACTGTGGAATGCCAAACTGGTTATTGAATGATATGCATATTTTTTGTAAATACATAATACAAGGGGCATATAAATAGGTAAAACGAGTTTGAAACGTTTTCGCTAAATTTAATTTTGTATGAACCTTGTTAAATAGCAATTATGCATAAACGTTCCAGAACGAATTTAAGTGTATTATTTTATAAATATATCTAAAATAAATATGTAAAATAATAAATAACAATGAAGAACATACAAAAACAACAAAAAAAAATTGAAAATGTATTACAAAAAAAATAGAACGTGATCTTTTGAGCTTAGAACCTATGCCAATTTGCTGATATGGTTCCAAAAGTTATCAAAAACTTATATTATAAACATTCAATTTTCATCATCGTATTCTATGATCTCGAAGTCCGGAACTCCACCAAACCCATCAACATCATCAGTGCTTCTTCAGAACTTTGAAGCGTTCTATAAAATTGAAGGCAATCCACTTCCTGTGCACCTCTTCTACCTCTCCTTCTACCAATACATAACAATGCCCAGTATCATTAAATGCACTATGGATACCACTATTGTAGAACTAAGTAAAAAAGTTAAACCTCTTCAAGTTTACAAAATGACAAAGACTGATTTTTTTAGTACAACTAAACTGGAAAAGAAGATTATCAATAGGAAGAAGTTTACAGACTCATCTAAAGTTAGTTGGCTACATACAAAAGAAATTAAGTTGGATAAAGATAAAATGTTTTCTATTTTTATGCGGTCTACGATGGAAGACGATTTCAATGAGTTGAAAATTGATAAAAGAATAAAACGAGAACTGCAATACATAAAAGAATCTCATTTTTGCTTATTGTGGCCTAACGACAAACCGATTGCTCCAGCGAAATTAGTGGACTTACAATCCATGTACCACTACATACCCGAGGATTGCCTTCAATTTTATAGAACGCTTCAAAGTTCTGAAGAAGCACTGATGATGTTGATGGGTTTGGTGGAGTTCCGGACTTCGAGATCATAGAATACGATGATGAAAATTGAATGTTTATAATATAAGTTTTTGATAACTTTTGGAACCATATCAACAAATTTTTGGCATAGGTTCTAAGCTCAAAAGATCACGTTCTATTTTTTTGTAATACATTTTCAAATATATTTTTTTGTTGTTTTTGTATGTTCCTCATTGTTATTTATTATTTTACATATTTCTTTTTAATACACTTAAATTCGTTTTGGAAAGTTTATGCATAATTGCTATTTAACAAGGTTCATACAAAATTAATTTAGCAAAAACATTTCAAACTCGTTTTACCTATTTATATGCCCCTTGTATTATGTATTTACAAAAAATATGCATATCATTCAATAATCAGTTTGGCATTCCATAGTTAAACCAATAGTATTTGCCTGAAATAATTACAGGGAAAAAGTGTGTAAATTGCAAATTGGGGTTGCTGTGGGTTGGAACATTTTCGCGTTACTACGTCCAAATATACCATAGTTATTTATTTTGGTAAAAAATATCTTTTTCTCTAGAACATATTTAATAGCAAAAATGGATCAAGTATATGTGGATTGTTTATAGCTAAAAATTTTAAAATAATATATTATAATAATAGGTTTCAATTTATTTAGAACAGTGTTCGCAGCTTAAAAAAACAGTATGGATTAATCTAAAAGGTTTCAAATTACATGGAACATTTTTGCAGAAATAAAAAATGTATAAAGATTTTGCAAAAACGTTCCAACCCACATGGATCATTTAAGAAACCATTAAATGTGCGTTTTATGAATTTAGTATAATGTTCCAAGACAAGTGGAACATTATAACGATATGTTATTCTATTAAGAGTTTTTAACAATATGTTTCAGTATGCATGTAATGTTTTTACTTTATTTTGAGTACACGTCCTTGGCATAATGGTGGGTTGGAACATTTGGGTTAAACTTTATTGATGAAACTAACTTAAAAATACTAGCATCTTTGTGTGCACATGATGTAATATGGCAAAAATAGTACCCTGGTTATGGTAACTCATTTTCGAGTGACTTGTGGGTTGGAACGTTTTCGCGTAACTACGTCCATTTATGAATCTGGAACAACGGAACCAAAGCGCGATTCAGGAGACTACAGCGCCATCTCTTGACCATTGGTGTAGTAGAACCAAAAACCACATCTTTATTTTTTGTAATAAAGTAACAGTTATAGGTATTCATACCTATTTATAATATTTATCCACATGTTTCTAGTTTGTATATTCGGAATACGTGTTTGAGTTTCATACAAGTGCAAATCACATATGTTCTAATAAATTACATTCAGTAGCGATTTTAATTGAATATATTGATTATTTATTTATTTTTTCAAATTAAAACTGAACTTTATTGACTGTGTCCTTTTCCAGACTTTTTATTAATTTATTGTAATTAATTATTTGCATGCAATTAAAAACTAATTTTAAACGATGCCAAAGAAGGATAACTTCTCACGCGCCTACATAAGTACACGCACCCATTTTTTTAATAATTAGACGATGGTCAACATCACCCTTTTAATGTCCCCACTGCTGGGGCACAGGCCTTCCCTGTGGATTGAATAGGTAGATTGGGCCATGACCACTGCGGATTGGTAGGTGCTAAAAACTGCAGATGGAGCCAGGACCAACGGCTTAACGTACCTTCCAAAACACGGTGAAGCTCGAGATAATAAGTTTTTAGTCACGTATCCAATGCAATGAGCGACCATGGCGATAATTGCTTAACTTCTACGATCGCAGGCCAAGCACACCATCGGGCTCCTCAATTAGACTAGACGATCATGTACATAATAATAATGATAAAATTCATTGGGTTACAAACATTTAGAAGTATGTATTAGACGCATCTATATGGGAATAAACATCACCATATTATTATATGCGTTGAGTAACTATAGCATTTGGCAGTATAAATCAGAATGTATGGTATGGCACCTCAAAACTATAGCACCCATTCCTTTTTAACAAAATAACAGTTCTGAAGTTCACCCATAATATTAAAACTTAGTAGCTAAAAAACTTACGCTATTTTCATAACATTAATTTATAACAATAAAAATTCTACTAAATTTTGTCTTCCATTCGCAATAGCTATTCTGTTATTCCCTAGTCTCACCATTACAACACTATTGCAAAGTTAACAATATCAAATACAAAGTGAATCTCTCCTGAAAAGTAAATAGCATAGCCGCAAATCCGTTTTACCGCACTTGTTTACAAACCATCGCATTGTTTGGTATTCTACCGCGTTTCACGGGCACACAGTATTTATTATATTTAGTTTATACTTATTTTTTCGCAGACACCCTTGAATTTCGCGAAAATTCAATTTGTCAAATCATCCTTCGATATATAAACATTTATTTAATGTATGTTATTTGTTTCTTTCCCAGGGACATGTGTTCTCATACACGGTAACGTGGTCCACAAGAGTGCTCACAACAGATCAGAGAAAAGCCGCCACGCTTACACCTTCCATGTTGTTGAAAAGCTAAACAACCAATATTCACCCGACAATTGGTTACAGGAGGGGAAAAACGCACCATTTCTTAATATTTACACCACCCAACAGGCAATGTAGAAAATTAATAAAAAAATAACCACCAATTTATAGACATTGAAGTTTCGATTTCCATTGACTCAAGTTACTTAGCGGTCCTCAAAAGAATTGTTATTTTAATAAAGTCGTAACATTGTTGATTACTATGATTGAAGAAAAAGACGTGATCAAAGTTTCAAAGTAAATTTAAGGTCTCCTTATATGTTTAAACTTTTAATGTAAAATTATCTGATGCGATTTGTCTAATCAAAATTAAATTTGAATTAAACGCTGTTCACTTGAGACAACTTAAAAAATAACAAACCGTAAGCTGTTTATTTCTTTATTCATGGTCACCTGGAAAATTGCCCTTCGCTTGAATAAATTACGAAAGCGTATTATTAAACGGCCGAGTTTCGTTTTAAAACTTCACTACTAAGTATCATTTATGATTATCATTTATTATATGATTCATAATATAATAACCATTCAATCATTTATTTTTTTATAAAAATGACTATTAAGTATATTTTTGATGCCATTCTAAACCACTTGTGGTTTTAATATTGTGATAATAATGATTATTTAAAATAAAGGCAATAAATACCAAATGATATTTTGTTTTCACTTTTCCCGTCGTCATTTTTCCCTTATTCAGTATTACGTTATGTTACAAGCCTATGTTAACATTATTTTGTTTGATCGATCGATCGATCGATCAATCGATCGATCGATTTGATTTGTTTGACGTATTGATCTAGATAGTAGAATAAAAGTACTCTAATTATACTTATTTAGCATTATGAACACAGAGAAGTAATCCACAAAAACTTTGAGTGACATACAGAATTTTTACTACTAGCTAATTTCAGACCACAGAATAACTTATTATAACCGGAAATTCAGGTTACATTTAGGTTACATTTTCGCAAAAAAAAGCTATAATTCTTTTTTCGAACGACATAAATAAATCTTTTTGTATGAGGATGTCAGTGTACTACGTTTACTGTTTCTAACAGGTCTATTTTTTTTACACGATTTTTTATTTTTTATCACTAACGGTGTATATTTCAGAGAAAGATTATCTTATATTCTAAGAATTTAACATTCAAAGGTATTTTCATTTATAATAGTACTGAAAAGAGGTATTTGTAGAGTGGATGTTCTGAATTAGAGCTCCTTCCTACGTGGGAAAGTATGAATTATATATATCACAATGAACGATATCAAATAACGCTTTTGGCATTTATAGCTTTTTATAAAACTGCGATACAGATTTTAAGCAGTGTGTGATTGCTCATTTACACTGTCGATTTTTTGGTCGACTTTTGCCGCACGACCATAAAATAAACGGTTGCCTCACTTGGATACTCTGAGCAGCCATATAGCCTAGTGGCGAAAATTATGTTCAGCTAAGCCATTCACTAACTAAATAAATTGTCGGCGAGTTGTTAATTCCTCCTAAGGTTGGCCAATACTAACTGCAAACTTTCATTTGAATATTTATTCCGTTGTATAATTAATAATTATGATATAATAAATAAATAAATATTTTGTAAAACATTATAAATAGTTACATACATAGTATAACAAAAATCTGTCCTTATAGAATTAATATTTGATTTATTTAGAATATGATCTGTTTTAATTAATGTCTGCTTTCTAATAGCATCATCTGGAATGATTACTAAACTCTTTTCTGTCAAATAGGAGAACTCGCATTGTTATTGATTTTACAGGATTTGACTAATCCCTAGAATAATCTACTTTTATTCGGCTGATTTTACCATAGAACGTACTAATGATGGACAATAAATTAAATAAAGCATGGTAAAGTTTTTTTCATCTTGAACTACTTGCGATTCACGAGCTCGTAAAACTGTAGAATAATTGAAGTTTTCTCGTTGCAAAAGCAAACGGAAGTTCTTTGTGGTAATCGTGAGCGCAACGAAAACTGTTTACCACATGACTTATCAAAGCTTAAAAAAGTCTTACGGAGTTTTAATTCTTTTGTCTCTCTAGAATATGGGAATACCCGGAAAAGCAGGATAGATACCCCACTTGTCTGAACTGTATAGATAATTTAGTTGTATCTTAGTTTTGATTCTTTTGTAATTTCAGGGAGATATAGTCAATTATCTAAATTCGGGAGGCAGGCGTAGGGATTGAGGATTCGAATAAAATGAGTTTATTTACCAAATACCAAATACATCTGCTACTTTATAATCCATATCGAAAGCTATGTCGAAATAATGAATTGTTCAATTGTAGTCATGAAAATTCACGCGCTTATCTATGGATTGAGGAGCGACACTAAAAATATTTTATATTCTTGAATGTCAGTACTACGTCATCTACATTTTAGGTATGTAGGGTAAGGGTACCAATGAATGAACCCTTAAGGCATTTTGGAACTTTAAAAATTATAAGCACCTACTTCAGGGTGGCTGGGCCATGTAAATGCTACTCTTTTATATTAAAAATATATTTAAGTGTAATATAGCCCGGGCAGTATACCATTAATGGACATAATTTATGAAATAATAGAGATTTAATGCAAAAATTACTCAAAAAATTGCTACAGTAAATGAATATCAAAATCTATTATGAACTATTCGTACTCCAGTGAAGGAACATTTAGTGTTGCAAACTAATTTAGCTAGAATTTACATAATCTTTAATTTTAAAATGAGTTATAAAATTAGGAATTAGAACGTGATGGTATGGGAAAGTTTATCTCCAACAGCATATTCCTATAATTAGGCTATTTATTCCTCCCCATCTGATTTAGGTTATGGTCTTCGCGTCTAGAGAGTTGACTTTCAAAGACTAACCGTTGCAGCAGTTTTACCTGCCACACCAGTAATCCACTTTACTAGCCAACAAAAATACTTCTTCACGCAGAGCAGCCTAAGAATTTCAACTGCGAATAGTACGATGTTGAAATGAGTCACCAAATATCCTTGTTCGCACTGAAAACGTAGCTAAAAGCTGGTGATAAGTCATAACAAAAGCCATCACGTGACGTTCTGTAAAGGAAAGAGGGGTGAGATTCAGAATACTGCAACCTTGCCAAAGCATCAAGATTCGCAGAGATGCGAAAAATAGAAAATACAGGACAGCTTTTATATTTTTTACAACAAGTAAAGATGATCTTGCGTGAAAAAGAGTAGCGTCAGAAATCTGTAAAAAAAAGTAAAATCCGGTGTGTCTTCGTCGAAAGCCAGTTTTGTTGAGAACGCATTTCTAGTTATCATAGTATTTTTTTTCACCTATTGCAATCTTGATTTATAAGATTAGATTAGACATTATTGATCTCTTAGATTATGGCGGTTCTGATTATTTTTGTTACTAATACTGAGATAGTTGCTTAAAATTTAACAGAATATATAGGTATATAGTTCATTTATTGGTACCTACCAATAACCAGTACGTGAACCTGGAAATATCATTAAAATATTTTTTTTGTTTAGAAAAATGGTGTTTCGAATACTGGGCCAAAGAAAAATTATCATTTATAAAACCTGCCGACACAAAATCAATCAATTACGTTAACATAAGTACTAAAATCTGCCTAAAGTGATAAAACAGTCCAGTGGGCCAATCGCCTAACCAGATTGCTTTGGAAAACGCTATCGCTTACGATTTCTTTTTGGTATTTCTAACCGCCGAAGGTTTTCAAATACCTCACGCTCATTTTCTTTAACATTGTTATTACCAATGCAAAAGAAAAAAAAAGAGCGCGAGGCATTTGAAAACCTCAGGCGGCTAGAAATAACAAAATGAAATCGTAAGCGATAGCGTTTTCCAAAGCAATCCAGTTAGGCGATTGGCCCCCAGAGCCTACTAAAATTTATCATTTCTTTGATTTAGTAATCAAACAATTACTTACTACTAATTATTTTTATAAAAAGAAAGAAATTCATCACAAATTGTTTTCAGTTAAATAAAATAACCATTGCTCTATCTTATTATGCACGTTGCTTCATCACACTAATATTATAAAGGCGTAAGTTTGTGACTGTGTGAGTGTGTACGTTTGTTACTTCTTCACGTCTAAGCGGCGGGAGAGATTTTAATAAAATTTGGTATGGAGTTAGGTGACACCCTGGATTAACACATAGGTTACGTTTTACTGCGGTAAAATATTCCAAATAAACTTCGGGTAACACCGCGAGGCACAGCTAGTAAAACATAAACTTCACGCACCACACACAGCGTGAACAACGCTTATAACAAAAACGCAGTGTTTTAGCGAGTCCTTAATTCTTGCTCATACAAACACAGACACAACGCAATAAGTCAACTTTTAATAACGACGCATTGAATATTTTTCTGTTTTAACAGATTATGTATTTAAAGTGGTTCTCTCGTAAAAAATACTGTGTTTAGTGAAAATCAATAGTTTTCTTATTTTATTGAAATAACTCACATTTGTTCACATACATAAGAACTACTAAATGGAGCAAAATTTCAAAATTCAGATGTTTTTTTTATAGGTAAGTCTGACAAATGACTCCACCCCACCTGATGTTAAGTGAAGGTGAAGTCCAGAAACGAAGATAGCTGATACAGCAGTTCTACCTGCCACACCAGCCATCCTCACCAGCCATCCTCACCAGCCATCCTCACCCTGCCGGCCTGCATGTTGCTTCTTCACGCCTCTTTTAAAGGATCCCAGGTTGTAAGAGGGAGGGAACACGTGAGTGGGCAGAGTATTCCATTTACGGATAGTGCGACAAAGGAATGAGTTACCAAAGGACATCGACGAAATCGGCCCTATCATGCCCAAAAGAATGTCCTTCACTATTATTTTTCTATAATTTTTTTAACTTATTAGCAATTAATCATAGTTAACGGACAATCTGTTTAAAAAAATAAAAGTTCTGTTATTAGATATTACAGTCTGTTCATCCAACTTGGCACTCCTTTTTATTGAAAATACAGCATTAAAAATCAACTGAAAACTGGATTCAATAGGTTTCAGTCTATAATAACTAAATTTATTTTAATAGTTTATTGGCTTCGTTAATATTTTATTATTAAATGGGTGATTCTGTTAAAAAGTTGTGCTAAGATTGTTTACCTTAATAAATGCAATAAAGGCGACCATAGGTATTTATCAACATAAAAATGGAACTAGATACCTTAGTTAATAATACTTATTATATTAATAAAAAGATTATTTCTGA